GCTGTGTAACCTGTCATGGACGGAGCGCTGTGTCACCTGTCATGGACGGAGCGCTGCCTGCTAATTACAGGCGGCGCTGCAACCGGCTTTTGACAGGTAGTTAGGTTGCACAGCAGCGGGCTTCCCCACTGCTTGTGTAACCTAACCTGGTGAGGGAAGAGCTGTCACAGCCTCTACTCTGTGTTAGAGGCGTGAGCTCTGTGGATGGCTTGGACCAATAGGAAAGCGCCATTGGTCCAAGCTGTCCAATCAAAAAACGAAAGAAAAAAAAACAGTGAGGACATTGATCTCGATGCCTCACCAGTGACGAGCAAGTGAGGGACAGGGAGGCTCCTCCCTGTCTCCTCCCCACACAACTGTCTCTCCTCGCTCTCCTAACTGTCTCTCCCCGCTCTCCTGGCTGTCTCTCCTCGCTCTCCTAACTGTTTCTCCTCGCTCTCCTAACTGTCTCTCCTCGCTCTCCTAACTGTCTCTCCTCGCTCTCCTAACTGTCTCTCCTCGCTCTCCTAACTGTCTCTCCTCGCTCTCCTAACTGTCTCTCCTCGCTCTCCTAACTGTCTCTCCTCGCTCTCCTGGCTGTTTCTCCTCGCTCTCCTGGCTGTCTCTGCTCACTCTCCTGGCTCTCTCTCCTCGCTTTCCTAACTGTTTCTCCTCCCTCTCCTGGCTGTCTCTGCTCACTCTCCTGGCTGTCTCTCCTCGCTCTCCTAACTGTCTCTCCTCGCTCTCCTGGCTTTCTCTCCTTGCTCTCCTGTCTCTCCTCGCTCTCCTAACTGTTTCTCCTCGCTCTCGTAACTGTCTCTCCTCGCTCTCCTGGCTGTCTCTCCTCGCTCTCCTGGCTGTCTCGCCTCGCTCTCCTGGCTGTCTCTCCTCGCTTTCCTAACTGTTTCTCCTCGCTCTCCTGGCTGTCTCTCCTTGCTCTCTCCTGGCTGTCTCTCTTTGCTCATCCTCCTGGCAGATTCTCCTCGCTCTCCTGGCTGTCTCTCCTCTCACCTAACTGTTTCTCCTTGTTCTCCTGGCTGTCTCTCCTGGCTGTCTCTCCTCACTCTCCTGGCTGTCTCTCCTTGCTCTCTCTCCTGGCTGTTTCTCCTCACTCTCCTGGCTGTCTCTCCTTGCTCTCTATCCTGGCTGTCTCTCCTCTCTCTTAACGGTCTCTCCTCGCTCTCCTGGCTGTTTCTCCTTGCTCTCTCTCCTGGTTGTCTCTCTTTGCTCATCCTCCTGGCTGTCTCTCCTCGCTCTCCTGGCTGTCTCTCCTCTCTCTCCTAACTGTCTTTCCTTGGTCTCTCGCCTGTCTGTCTCTCTTTGCTCATCCTCCTGGCTGTCTCTCCTCGCTCTCCTAACTGTCTCTCCTCGCGCTCTCTCTCCTGGCTGTCTCTCCTCACTCTCCTGGCTGTCTCTCCTCGCGCTCTCTCTCCTGGCTGTCTCTCCATCCTCTCTCTAGACGTCGCTGCTCTGCAATATTACAGGACACCGGGAAGCTAGACCTACTACTTCTCCTCCTTTTGTGCTCAGCCCTCCATCCCAAAGTCTCTGCTCTCATGCTGTCGGCCTTCATGTGTCAGACGCAGCAGACAGGGGGGAGGGGCTAAACAGACAGTGGGAGGGTTCTCGGGATAGTGAGCCGACTTACAATCGTGATCTACCAGCATCAGCTTTGTGAGCTACTGGTGGATCACCATCGACCTAATGGGCACCCTTGCCCTAGGGTTTATCAGGGGGTGAGATGTGAAAATATAGAAATGTGTTTATTGATATGGAACTGAGAGTGTGGGAGGGGCAGAGGGGAAGGACATAAAGTGCTCCGCCCTCCTGCTTCACCCTCCCTGCTTCCTCCTGATTGGGTTAGAGGTCTCTCACCTAGAGGACCCGCAAAAAGCTGCTGCGCAAGGCAGCCGAAGCCTCTTGTTTTTACATTAAAAGAGGAGGCTCGTGTAACATCAAAGAAGGTCCCTTTAAGAGAAGAACTTTCCCAAGCCTTGCTTTGAGAAAGCCAAATCCAGATCCGTCTTCTGTTGCCTTGAACTGTCCCCAAAAAACTGATAATTATCCCCAAAATCTCATCTTCATTGACACAAGTCATGTAAACAATGCTGAAGAAGGATTTACATGTAATACTAAGGGAGTAGGGACTATTAATACATTCCCTCCACAGCTTTCACTATAATAATCACTGGTGATCCCACCATGACTGTGCATGTTCAGGCACTTCCTGTTCTGGGGTGACAACGCTCTGCCCATGTCTCCCGTTTGCGTTCCGGTGTTGTCACCCTGTCACATGTAGATGCAGACCATATCAGCCGTTTCTGCACACGTGACACAGACATGGTCTGCTGTTGTCACCACCAGGATACCAGACGCGGAAAAATGTCCCGCAGCCATCGCTGGAGAGCTTGTAAACAGGAAGCTGCTGCAAAGAGGCCGCAGGGGACCCACAACACTGAGATGGAACAAAGGGATGAAAACAGGGAAAAGGGTATTTTTAGAACAAAGACAATTGTTTATGATACAAAGAGCAAAGGACGCGTCATCCGGAGATCTCATCGATGTCACTATGTGCCAGGAGCTGTCCAGTGCTGATGTCGTTCTTCATTGTTGGATGTGCTCCGAAATCACTCCAGAACTCTGTACAGAGGAGCTTACACTCTAATGTCCCCTCCCCCCACAGTCACATCAGTCTCTGTACAGAGGAGCTTACACTCTAATGTCCCCTCCCCCACAGTCACATCAGTCTCTGTACAGAGGAGCT